AGTTCTATAATTCCTAATAATACAGTTAAATAATGTCTCAATCTCTGTGATTGCCAACTTTCCAATCTATTTTTACTATACAGTTTACAGATATATATATATATCATTTAATGAATGAATTGACATTTCCTTTTTTTTTTTTTTTTTTTTCAGAAATGATAAGCGAGAGCTTAATGATATTAGATTTGATTTCAAAGTAGGTCAAGGTGAGTATATATGTATTAGTATGGCTCTGAATCATTCTGGGCAATTCATCTATTGCAAATGAGTTCTGTTCAAAAGGTCTTGTATAAATGTTGAAGTTCTTCTAAGAAAGAAATGCAATAGAAAAAGTCATCTGAGCCAATGAAATAATATTTGTGTAGCTGTGTTGTGAGATAAATAATTAGTCAAATCACTCTTTTGTTTAATTTACATGTTTCTGATATTCCTTCAGATTTGAAGATTATTATTTCATCCTACCCCATATCCACACAGCCATGCAGCCATCTATTCAGCATCTATTGATAATTTTCCCCCTTTCAGACCTTAGGATCTATAGAGCAGAGGATGTAAAGGTCATCTATTTCTGTGGCCCATGGTTAACAAGGGTGTCATGTGGCCATCCACATTTACTTTTACCCAACTAATGTCAGGTACCCATTAAAGTTGGTTGGACTCAAGGCGCCTTGAAGATCCTGAAAATAAAAATCCCAGTCTTCATAGGGATTTGAACCCAGGTTATCCTTGATCTGTGATATAATTAAATGGCTTGCATAGGCAAGTTAGATGATGCACTTCATTTCTAGCTGTTATTTGTTTAATAGCTTATATTATGAATTGATGCATTCAGTAAAAAGAAGTTATCTTTGAAAGTGTAAAGATTATGGAGGTTTCATTCTAACTGTGGAATTTACACTAATTTTTAGTGTTGATCACCTTAAATGTTATTTAGCTTATAGAGGGGTGGGGGTAAAAAATATGTTTCATTTTCTAACGAAACAATATTTAAGTTGGTGCTAGGCTTTGTTTGGACAGTGAAGTTTAAATTTTGTGCTATTTTAGTCAATTTTTATTTTTGATGTTTTAGACACCGCTGATAGTGTATCTAGAGAACTGGTTGAAGCTGGTCTTGTAGATGGCAGAGATATGATAGTTGGTAAGTGCAACATTAATTTTCTTACTTGTGTCTAGAAATAAACTTTGTGCGTGGATGTACATATTTTATATTCGGATCAATGTTTCACAGTTAGTCAGTGTATATTTCAATTGTGTAATCCTGTCTTTTAGTGTTTGGGTATCAAATGAGAAGGACTTAATGATAAATATTAATTTGATTTGTCAAAAATATCAAATAAACTGTGTGTGTGTGTTTTAAGTAGAAAACAAGACCATCTTTCTAATACAAGAGGCATCTTATAAGACGTCGAAAAGCTTTTGACTTGTAATATATATATATATATATACACCCTATATATATATATATTTATTTATATATTTACCGTGGTGAGTCTGTTCAGTCAAATATCAGTAATCCACATGAAAATAAACATAAACACTTACAAAAAAAGTTTACAATTTTTTCCTTACCCCCCAACAGTGGCTGCTAACCTTCAGAAAATGGTGGACAAACCAGAACTGACTAGTCTTACATTTGCTTTGGTAAGTATCCATCACAATTAGTGTTGTTATTGTTTTAGACAGGGTTCTCTATCCCCATATAGTTTATGTAATCATGATTATCTAGTCATTTATGTGTTGTTGTTTTTTTCACAGAATTCAGGTTGTGGTCCTAATGAAGCACCAGATGACAAGGCTCTAATAGGATTTGCCCAGCTGACAATCAATGACTCCTAGTTCGTTATTGGCCTCCCGTACCAAAGGCACATACGCTGGTCAGAAGTAAGTAGAAGAAAAAAGAGTTATTCTGGGGGACTGAATGAATCGGAGGATCAGTGAGCTCCATCATCTCTGAACCTGATCACAACCCTCGTGTACCCTAGGAATGTTAGATTTGTTATTGCGATCAAAACAAGGGAAGCAGTTTAAATCCTTTTTTAAAAAAAAAAAGTCTTTCTGCGCTTAGCAATTTTAACAAATGTTTCTATTGAATATAATTTTTGACTTTCCATTATGCATTGTAAACAGAATATTGTGAAATCTACAGGTAAAATAACTTGTTTCACTTCTTTGGTTTTTAAGATGTATATTTTATGCCTTAGATTTTTTTCGTTTATATGTATACAAAAATCGTCCACCAATCTCCACCTAAATTATATCCATTGTTGATGTCTTTGTTATTCCTTTAACTGGCTGTCAGTGCTTCCAGGCACTGCCAAAGACATTGTTACTGATATTTCATTTTAAATATGACATTGATTTCTATTGTAGTTACATACAAACTATAGTAGTATAAAACTAGACCCTCACATTTTGAGTTCTGTCCCAAATTTTTGTCAAAATAAAACATTCTGTGTATACCGGTACATTCAAAAGTCAGATTTTTTTTTTTATTTCTTCAAAGGTGTGGTTAGCTTTTTCTTATATTACTTTAGTTATATTTCTGTTAACAATGTAATAACTTATAATCAAATATATTGTGGATTAATTTTGTTTTCTGTTAGTTTTATTCTAATCTTTTGCAACTTATTTGTAATAAAAAAATATATAAAAGTGTATAATGGTTTTGTTTCCTGACGCAAATAGAAAAGTAGCTAAATTAGTTGAAGTACTTTACCATGTGTTCCTATAAAAAAAAATGAAACCTTGTATAAAATGTCTTGAGATCAACCTGATAAAGTTTAATAACGACAGTCTTTGTTGCTTGTTATTTCTAATTATCTTGTTTTTTAATTAGTTGAATGTGAATATTTTTTTTCCTTGAGAAAGTGACAACGCTTTTTTTTAAAATATTTTGATTGTTGTATTGAATAAGTTTCTATTTATTCAAAGGTTCTTTCTCGAGAAAGCCTAAAGAATTTTCTCCCATTAATTATGAAAGATAAATATACCACAATATATGTAGGCTTTTATCTGTATTTGTATATCACTGCTACTCATTATTCAGAGCTAAACAGTTTATATTTGTATAATTATACATTCTTTTACACGTTAGACATTGTCCATTCTGTCCGTCATTCTGTGGTCTTGTAAATGTCATCTTTCAAAACTGATTACCTAATGCTATCTAATACAGCTGTTCCAAGCTTTGGTCTCATGTCACAACGAACTTGCTGAAATCATGATCAATTCATTGACAAATACCTTCCTTTTCTTTCTATTCATTGGACCCTGTAAAAAAAAGTAAAGTTCCCCTTTCAGACCTTGTGGTCTATAGGGCAGATGATGTAAAGGTCATCTGTTTCTGTGGTCTACGGTTAACGAGGGTGTCATGTGGCCAGCACAACGACCAACCGCCTTTACTTTTCCCCAACTAATATCAGGTACCCATTAGAGCTGGGTGGACTCAGAGGTGCCCAAAGATCTCAAAATTAAAAATCCGAAGATCCCGAAATTAAAGATCCCAGTCTTCACCAGGATTCGAACCCCGGTTCGGAAGCCAAGCGCTTTACCCCTCAGCCACCACGCCTCATATTGGACCCTGTACTGCATATTTTTGTACTTTGTTTCGTTATGAAGCAAACTCCTAGGTACAACCTAACCTAACATTTAGATTCTGAGTATTGCTTCTTTTCTAGAACTAGATTATCTTCTATTATATGCACTGGATTTAATGACTATTTCTTAAAATATGTTCACTTTTGTTGGAAACCTTTTCTTTTCAAAATTGTTTCTGTCTCTGAAAGCAATTATTATGGTGTTACTATGATTTGGTACTGTTTTTATGCCACCACAACCTGGTCACTTTTGGAGGAATTTGGTCTCTGAATGGTATATGGTGGGGTCAAGACTAGTTCTGATTATCAAAATGATATGCTGAAAGGTTGTCAGAGTTCAAGTAGGATGACTGCCTGGTCGTGCGGTTTGCTCGCTGGACTGTCGTTGGGACTTATTGATGCCACCCCCATTGTCCTGCAGGAGGTTCGGACCAGGAAGTAAATTATCTTCAAGTTTGAAGGAACATCTGAAACGTGTCAAACATTTTTTTTTTCAAAGTATTCTTTTTAAGTAAATTTTGCCCTCTATTTTCTTTTTTCACATTTTCTGCAGCTGACGTAGAGGAATGCATTTATTTTTGTTTGTTTAAAAGTAGGTTGGTATAGCCGTTAAATGTTGGGTGAACATATTTCAGCAGGGTCTAGTTATAGCTCAAAGTTGGTAAGTGTAGTTCTTCATTGTCTTGTAGGTGATGGCAACAGGGTCTTGTATGACATATATTTTGTCTAACCTCTTTGTTTTATCCATGACATTGACATGAGCAAGTTCCAGTTTAAAAAAAAAAAATTGTTTTCTCTTTTAAAAGTTCTTTGTTTAACTCCCCTTTTCTCTTGTGGCACTTCTGCTACTATGCCACATTTAATGACCTGATGTTTGTCTAGCACACACACACACTATGAGCAATACAATGTATTGTGTTTATGTACAGTGTAGCTCTGTATATGTATAAAACTTTTTGAGAATACCTGAAGAATATGTATTCAAATGTCACCAAAATTGTATGATGTTCAGATAGTATCATTATTGGGCTATGGTTTTCATCTTTGATTTGTTTTTCAAAGTTAAAATTTATTATTTTTATTTTGTTTTGGCTTCAGTATTTTGACCATGTCAGTACTGTCAATTATTGTGCTTATTATATTATAGGACTGAACCATTCAAACTTTTCTAATCCAACTGATTTTATTTCAAATCACGCTTAGCTGTTTATTCTAAAATACTTGCTTGCTTTCACATAATGACCTTTTTTTGTTGATAGTGATATTATATTGTCATTTTTTTTAAATTTAGAGCTTTTAGTTTCTCTATTAACAATTTTAGAAGGTACGTTTGGGTTTGTTACAATTGCCTGTTGTGTTTTTTTTTTACTGTACAGTCAACTTTGAATATTTGCTTTCAGTTGTTTTTCACCTCCTCGCCCCCCCCCCCTCCCCCCATTTTTTTCCCATTACACCCTGCTCAGGATGTGGCCAGACTTTTGAGTCATCTCCATCCCAAGAGTGTCGCAAATAATTTTACTATTTTGATCTAGTACAAGCATATCATTGGACTCTTGTTTGCTAGAAGAACAAACTTAATAATGCTGATCTCCCTTTGCCTTTCCACCTGGACATGATTTTTCTTGACACATTAGCAATTTAGCGTAAGTCTTGATTTAATATCTTCTTGTTATTGTCTCCCTTGGTTCGCAATATATATATATATATATATATGTATATAATTCTACCAAAGTGTAAGAAAGACTTACAGTAAATTACCAGAAATGTGTTCGTTATAAGAAATGGCTAATGGTAATTTTTTTTTTTTAATTGTCTTTTTCGGTTTGTCACTTCCTCTCAAACCCCCCCCCCCCCCTCTCACTTAATCCCTTTTGATTTGCCACCTGGAGTCTCCTGGTCCACTATATTGAGCTTCATGTTTTAAGGAAATCTGTTTGTTTCAAATATAAAATGGAAGGGGGGGGGGGGGGGGGACAAAGAAAGTTGCCAAAGAGTAAAGGTAAGGTCTTGGAATATAAAAAAAAAAAAATAGCTTCTTCACCAATCTTATATTGCACATACTATCAGATTTATTGGTAATGCGTTTCATTGTACAAGATTAATTGGTAATGTATTTTAAATTAAGGGGTTTAAAATTCCTGATTTGGCCAAGTGAACATGTGTATGTTTTTTTTTTTGTGTTTTTCTTTTAAGTATGTAGACTTAAAACCATAGTCCATGCTAGGTAGTTTACTTTGATGATTGTATACTTATTATTTTTTGCCTACCCAGAGCCTTATATGACTTGTACACAATCATTCGTATTCCTAGTGACACCTGGCTTACCCCATTCCCCCTTGTTTCCCCCACCACTTTCTCCCCTGAACCTTGTCTCTAGAAACTATTTTGCTGTAGCCTTTGGTTTGAGCATGTTGTGACACCATCTATAGACATATACCTGTGTGTTAAGAGTATCTAGATGTAGCCTACTAGAGTGAAAATACCAAGCATGAAGTTCAGATATAAACAGAGGTTTTTTTTTTAAATTATTATTTAAGTGAAAATTGAAATAAAAGCGAAAGTTTTCTTGTTATATTGGAAACCCAGGTTGCTATGCTACGAGTACTATTTATGTCCTGATGTATAACACGAACAGAGAACTCAATAAAAATGTGATGACGCTGATATGAGACTACCACATCCTCGTGTTTGTTGTTCTTGATAAACTGAGGGGGGGGGGGGGGGGGGTTGGCAGCGTTTTCTACTGCTTGATATGGACACCTTTGTGTACTCAGCTCAAATATAGGACTGAACGAACAAGACTGTGAACCCTAGTTTTTATGCCTATAATTATGATAAGCTTATACTAGATAAAATAGTGAAACTATAATTGATTCCGTAAGGCTGTAATTGGTGAAAGTGGTAATGTAAACCTGCACTGACAGAAGAGGCAAAAGCCAGTAACTGGCGCCTAAACCAGTAAGCTTTGGGCCTTGGCTTGCTACCCACCTAGTAGAAGGAAAACTGAATTCAAGTCTCTGTGGCCTTGCGGATATACCCAAAATGGGAAAGACTTTGGGAGTCTACTCTGAGGAACAATAAATCAGGCGCCAGTGACCCTTAGACAGCTTGCATCACACACTGCTACACACCAAAACAGCCTACGGTGCTGACGATCCTAAACTGTATCGGCACTTGCCGTTTTTTGGTCGCATCAGCTGCGTAGAGAGGGGGAACTGCTGTGAGGGCGACATCGTTCCGGTCATAGCTAATGCCCTGGCACTCGTGTCCATGTGATGATCCATAGTTGCTTTGCGACTGAATGAGGCCATAGAATTTGAGAAAAGGTTTGTGCTCTAGTATGTTTGTACAATCACAAAATAAATTCAAAGAAAATACTTCATAATAAAAAGATTATTGTAAACACACACAACAAACACCAATGAATGTATATTTCAACTGCTTTCTTAACATTTATTTACACAAAGAACGAATCATCACTATAAACTAAATGAGCTTCAGAATCACTCTTGAAGGTTTGATATGACTTAAAGTCTCCCACTTGCATGGGAAGATGTCCCATGGTTCTTAGGAACTTGGTGAAGTATCTGTTATTTTATTTTGGTTTTCACGAAAGCTCTAGTTAATTTTAGCATAAGAAAGTAATTAATATTTTAGCTTTTAAATGACAAAAAATATTGCCTTATCCAGGTACGCTGATCTAGTCGTATTTGTACATTAGAGACTACTCAGTCATATTATTTCCTGTCTGAGAAGAAATACTTTATTAATTTGTCCTAGCACATGGAAAAAGAAATGTCTTTATCTTTATGTCTTGAGTATTTCAATAAATTTTTTTTTAAAATACAATATCTACTTAGGTAATAATAGATCTACTAAATATTATACCGCCCACGCCCGATGCGGTTATTTCTGTGGTATTACGTAGCCAATGAGAGGATCGGGCGAGGGCGTTATAATATCTACTATTGGCTTTTTTTTTTTTAATTTGCAAGTTTTATGAATTATTGCTACTTTACTATTTTGTAATCTCCTCTGTAGTGTCTAAATTTAGAGATTTTTAAAATGTAGTTTGATTTGAGTACACATATTTATTTGTAAGTCAACAGTTTGTGACCTTTAACCCAACCAAGTTTTCCTGCATGTAAACTTCATTTCAATGCATTGGAATCGTTGACATGAAGATGATCTCTAGGCCTACTCATCCACATGTCCAATGAGATCTGAAGGAAAATGTCAGCGCCTCGAGTATTGTCAGCTCTGGAACTACAGATTTGAACTCTCTTTTATTTCACAATCAGTCAATGTATTTTAATGGACCTCATTCACCAATCGTAAACAAACAACATTTAGCCACGTGGTGCTCTATCTCTTCTATATAATTTACGACCTCACGTTTAATTCATGATGGTTGTCACGCGACAGTTTTTTTCTCGTTGTTTTATCAATAAGATCACGTGACTAAATGTTGTTTGTTTACGATTGGTGAATGAGGTCCATTGCAGATCTACCTAGGAACTTGATCATGTCTATGTCCCAACATCTTTACAGTCGTCAGACAACGCCGCCTGCGCTGCCTTGGACATGTTCGCCGGATGGAGGACAATCGCATCCCGAAAGTTATTCTTAACGGGCAACTCGCGTCTGGCTCAAGAAAAACTGGCCGCTCCCACCTCCGTTATGTGGAAGTAAAAAAACGGGACCTCAAATCGGTGAACATTGATACTGACCATTGGGAAGACATAGCTCTAGACCGCACTAGATTGAGAGAGACAGTGACCAAGAAAGCTATGGACAGCGAAAAAAAAAAACAGGGCCTCAGCTCTGGAAGAAAAGCGTTCCATGCCAAAAATGGCCAGCTCTTCTACCACCAATGCGAAAACCACCTTAATTAACCTGCGATATTTGTGAACGGGAGTGTCTCTCCAAAATAGGGCTCCACAGCCACATGAAAAAGTGTTTGAGATAAACAATAGTCACTCTACGACTGAAGGAGGCCAACAACCAGTCTCTGTATACTGTTTTGGTGTTATAATAAATAATAATGATGCACCAAAAACACATTGTAATCTAATCAAAATTTTAATTCCATTAATTGGGATCAATGAATTATCATATGCAATACACAATCAGAACATTACAAAGTGGTAAGCCTATTGCAATACAAATCTAAAGCTTGATTAACTCAACGAATTCTTTGTCAACTTTCTATCTGATAGACCTCTTCTTGTTTTCACAACATTTGGTTTTCCTTTTTTTCCCCTCCTAAATTCTCCATCTGACCAATCGCGAACGTGCCCTGGAGTAACTAACAGCAGACGTGAAATAGCCTCACTTGCGGGCGACAGATCGTTGGAACCGAATTTCCTTTACTCCTTTACTCACCCCTTCTTCTCCTAGGGCTCGTCTCAAATACTATAAATAGAATTATATCATCAATATTTAGGCCAAATTGAAATGGATACCTTTTGTATGGTTTTTCATCCTGAAATAGTTTATAAAGGTAAGTGCAATTAAATAGTAGACGCTATAATGTAATGCAATCAAAATGTAATGCAATAATAGGCCTATGCATAGCAAAATATTTAATATTTAATCTAGCAGAATAATGATCTCAGGATGACGTGATAGTAGTTAGGTCATCTATCTAATAGAAATGATCATAGGTCTATTCGTGAAATACGAAACATAATTCTCTTTATATGGGCCTAACACTTTTCTATTTCAAATAGAATTTAAAGACAGAGTCTAATCCATTCAAGATCTACTCTGTCTTTACAATAAAAACTTTCCCATTTATACAATCAAGACTTTTCGAATATTAAAGAAAATATAGATTAGTTGTTTGGGAATTAATTTTTTTTTCAATTCAGTATCATCGTCTAAACAAAAAGTCTTAAGTAAGTCTTTTTTAAAATAGATTTTTAAAAATATACAGCGAGGTAATTCCTTGGGCATCTAAATTGGTCGATATACCAGTGCATTAGTGTAACGAATGGCAACTGAGAATATTAATGTAATAAACCACCAAACATAGAATTGAAAATCATCACACAACCAAACACAATGAAACAAAAGAATAGGGAGCAGTCAACGATCACACAGTCAAGCAGTAAACCATCACACAGTCAACCAGTAAAACATCACACAGTCAAGCAGTAAACCATCACAGTCAAGCAGTAAACCATCACACATTCAAGCAGTAAACCACCAGACAGTCAAGCAGTAAACCATCCCACGGTCAAGCAGTAAACCATCACACAGTCAGGCAGTAAACCATCACACAGTCAAGCAGTAAACCATCGAACAGTCAAGCAGTAAACCATCACGGTCAAGCAGTAAACCATCACACAGTCAAGCAGTAAACCATCACACGGTCAACCAGTAAACCATCACACAGTCAAGCAGTAATCCATCCCACGGTCAAGCAGTAAACCATCACACGGTCAAGCAGTAAACCATCACACAGTCAAGCAGTAAACCATCACACAGTCAAACAGTAAACCATCCCATGGTCAAGCAGTAAACCATCACACAGTCAAGCAGTAAACCATCACACAGTCAAGCAGTTAACCATCACACAGTCAAGCAGTAAACCATCACACAGTCAAGCAGTAAACCATCACACAGTCAAGCAGTAAACCATCACACAGTCAAGCAGTTAACCATCACACAGTCAAGCAGTAAACCATCACACAGTCAAACAGTAAACCATCACATAGTCAAGCAGTATGAAATTATATTCGACAATAATCAAGTTTTCATCATGCCCAATTCGGTTAAAAAAAGAAATAAAAAAAAAAAAAACCTGACGTTTGCTAAGCTGCCAGGTCTTAGGATTGTCCCCCAGTCCGCCCGCTTATATAAAAATAAATGAAATGATGCCACAGAAATAAATCAGAGACAGAGGCGGTTGAAGAATTCATATTAAAATATTTTGTCCTTAAAGTAAATATATTTATTTATTGATTGATCTAGAACAGGGGTTCTCAACCTGTGGATCGCGACCCCCTTGGGGGTCGATTGACGATTTGCCAGGGGTCGCCTAAGACCATCAAAAATAAGGATTATTATTGTCTATTCTTTCTATTGCTGTATGTGTCTATTGGGGGGGGGGGGGGGTCGCGTCAGAGTGGTATATCGTAAAAAGGCGTCGTCGAGCTTAAAAGGCCGAGAACCGCTGATCTAGAACGTATACGTTATTAGAAATAAATATAATATGAATGTAAGATAAACACAGGGGGCGTAGCTTAGGAATTTACCATCATTTGGGGGTCCGGGGGGATTAACTTCTTTGGGGCCCCAGCATTTTACGTAATCTTTAATATTAAATGTAAAAAAAAAACACTCATTTGGGGGCCCGGGGGATTTTCAAATTCTCCCCCCCCCCCCCTCCTACCCCCACCCTAGCTACGCCACTCGATAAACAGGTATTCGTGGGCTATCGTTTCTTTTGATGGTGAATATCATTGCTAAGTGGCAGGCATCAAAGATCATGGATGACAAGATCTGGAGAGCCTCTGCGCAGCCTTGGCGACTTGACGTATTCGGGTTGTTCAACCTAAGACTGTTGCTCACTTCAGCGCCTCCCACGGAGTTCGGTGGTAACGCCTACGAATAGGAATGCTTGACCTCGGATTTTTCACTCGCACTTTACATTTGGTGTGTTTTGAATATC